TACTTCCACACCTCCTCTGAGTCTCAGTGTGCTTTTCTCTTTCCTTCTAGTTGTAGAATTTCCACTCAGCCAGCCTTCCTGTGGTTCTGGATGATGTCTGTTTTGTATTTTAGTTGTATTTTTGAAGTGGTTGTGTGAGGCAGCAATTTCCAGTGTTTACCTATGCTGCCATCTTGGTTTTCATGAAACAGTTTCTTAATAATATATGCCATTTAGGATTCATAAACTTTTGCACTCTAGCGCTAAACTGACTACAAAATCATTTCCCATGTAATTATAATGTTACTAAGAGAACCAGTGCATTGAATCTGTGCACTGGGGCAGGTGGCGGGGGGTCCCTCAGCCCGGCCTGTGCCCTCTCGAAGTCCGGGAACCCTCTGGGGATCAGGTCTAAGCCAGCAGTCAGACATCCCTCTCACAGCCCGGGGCTCTCGCAGTCTGGGGCTCTCATAGTCTGGGACCCCTGACTCCTTACCGCCTGCTGGTGGAAGAGGCTCCCACCACTGCTGCTGCACTTGCCAGTTGTGAGCCTGGCTTCTGGCTGACCAGTGCTGCCCCTTCTGCATTGAGCATCTGCCCCCTGGTAGTCAGTGCACGTTATAGCAACCGGTCATTCTGCTGTTTGGTCAATTTGCATATTAGCGTTTTATTATATAGGAAAGGATTTTAAAAAAATATTTTATTGATTTTTTACAGAGAGGAAGGGAGAGGGATAGAGAGTCAGAAACATCAATGAGAGAGAAACATTGATCAGTTGCCTCTGCTCACCTCCCAAGTGGGGATGTGCCCACAACCAAGGTACATGCCCTTGACTGGAATTGAACCAGGGACCCTTCAGTCTGCAGGCTGATGCTCTATTCACTGAGCCAAACCGGTTAGGGCTAGGAAAGGATTTTTAACAGTTGCTCAGGGCTCTTACCATAGACAAGTTTTCTTCTCTCTTTTGTATGTCATGTAGGCAATTCCCAGATTTTCCTATGGCAAATGACATTTTTATAAGCAGTTTCTACATGTATGTTTTATCTTATGCTTTCCTTGAGGTAAATTCTAGTGTGAGGTTACTAGGCTACCAGAATGAATACTTCTGTGATGTTTTGCTAGCCAGGTGAAAGAGGGCTTGGTACTTACTATTTTGCTCCAAGTAAGGCCTGTGGTGTGGTGTTCCTTGATGTATGCTTGAAGCTCACTCCAGATGTTCAAATATGACTTCACCCAATCTACATGGCGTAAATCGCTTTATTATGAAAGAGAAAAAATGAGAATGGAGTTAGGATCTAAAATCAGATTTAGAAGAAAAGCAGGGAGGCACATGATAATCCAGTAACTAAGGCTGGATGACCTTGGAGCAATTGTCTTTCTAGTTTGGTCACTGTGAACTGATTCCAAAGAGAACCTTGAAAGAAAGGCATTCCAGGTCTCTCCTGAGGGGAGCCAAGTGCCCTGGAGGTGGGGAACAGAGAGGATCAGGGAGGTGGACCCCACAGAACCAAGTTGATTCAGGTCACGTGTCCTCATGTCACCTGTGATGGGAAGATGACTGTAGAGAGGTGACCCTTCCTTTCTGTACTGCTTCTAATGCACAATGAAAAACTAAGTGTTTTCAGGAAGGACAGTGGGAAATAAAAAATGTCCTTTGGTTTGTTTTCTAATAATTTGGTTGAGTTATTCAGTTGAAGTATAACCAAATTGGAGGATTTTTCAACTGGTAAGGACACTGCTGTTATAAGAAAAATGATTTCGGCCCAGCTAGCATGGCTCAGTTTGATTCCTGGTTGGGGCACATGCTCAGGTTGTGGGCTTGGTCTCCAATGGGGGTGTACAGGAGGCAGCAAATCAATGATTCTCATTATTGATGTTTTTGTCTCTCCCTCTCCCTTCCTCTCTGAAATCAATATGCATATATATTAAAAAAAGAAAAATGACTTCCTACAGATGGGTATCATTCCATACATTTAAAGGTAACATTCATTTAAATTACCTTAATTTGATACTCACAACCACAATGTAAGCTAGGCGGGGCATTACCAGTACTTTTATCCCAATTTTGCTGAGCCAAGATGTAGTCAATGCTTACCTTTTACAACAGGATTAACATACAGGATTGAGTTGACTGTTAGAAATATTTAACTTGTAGACAGGCAAAAATAGTTGCATTTTCTTTGGATAATTTCCACCCACACATTTTCCCCACTTTGAATGAAGTAGTGGTAAATGAGACAATGATGAGACCTCAGTTAACAAAAACTTAATCACGAACCCGGGCCATTAATCGGAAGACAATCACTGAAGGAGAGCTCTATTACTAAAGCTCTTGTCAATAATGACTTTTTTCTGGATGTATTTTGTTTTGTTTTCCTGGAAATGCTCCATGAAAAGTACCACCAGCACACTAGAATCCCACTATATTAAGTCATGCCATTGAAGAAAAGTGAAATGGAGAACTGAAGTCATCATTATCTACCCTTCAAAGAGGAAAAATGCGAGTGTGGTTTTGTTCTATATTTTTAGATTTACTGATTATATTAATCAAATCTTTGAAAAATCTCATTTTCCCTTTCTTGCACTTTCAGAGTCAAAACCAGAAAGGCTAAGTGTAGTTCCATATGTTTCTTGCATTGGTTTCTTTATCTTATGAGGTGTGTGAGGGTCTTAGTATAGTGCCCTGCACATAGGAGGCAGTATATACAACAGCCATTGTTAAAACACTAAAATCATTTCAATATAAGGTACACACATATTTATATATGATTATTTAATACATATATTGCATAAGTACATATGTGTATGTGCATACAACACACATGTCTATAGACGTTCTAGAAATAGCAGGTTGCATATTTAATATATTTAAAAATAGAAAATAATATATTTAAAAACTCTAATAAGCAATGAAGTTCAAACATGTATATGCAAAATCATTTTTAACTGTTATGATTTTGACTTGAAGAAAGTTCTATCAAAATGGCGAGGAATAACAATATGATATCTTCTAGCCTGAAATCAGCCTCTGTGAGACAGCACATTGAGCAGGACCCAACAACACATCAGGAGCTGCAAACCCATCCTCAGTTTCATTCACCCTGGAGGAAGCTATGGTGGGGGGCATGCGATTTCAATGAGTATGACTCGGAGAGGCCATTCCTCTATAAAGTCAAATTTACTGAAAAAGAGCCAAACCAGCCGAGCCAGTCATAGGGTTATTTACACAGAGGCAGAGCTCACTACAGCTGGCTTGGGTGCACCCCTAAGTGGGTGTTAGGCGAGCAGTGTGCAGTGTTCTCCTTCTGTCAGGTTAGCACCCCTGGAAGTCCGACCAGTGACTTGGGACTGGTTTGACTACTTCTGGAAGTGAAGTGAACGAATCCATACCTCTGGCTGCACTTCCCCAGCTTTTGATACAGTCTTCAGGTGGTCCCTTAAGTGTCACTGAGTTGTCCCTGATGCTGCCAGCAGTATATTTTCTACTCAATAGCTGACATTGAGAGGCAAACACTGGGCTCTATTTGCATGTGTACAAAAAGCAAAAAACCACAATCCTCCTGGTTGTGCTGCCACCTGGAGAGAATCACACCCATGGCCCCAACACACACTCAGATAGGGGCTGGGAGGAGGCCAGGAGCTGATGACATGAGAGGAAAACAGAAATGACCTCCAAGGGTGATATGCAAAAGAGCAGAGACCTAGGTGTTGCCCAAGGGGTCCAGTTCTGAAAAAAAGGTGAGGCACGTCTTTATGATGTGGAAGTCACTATGGGCATAGGTTCGTGCCAACATAATTTTTATGTCCAGCTTTTGTAACAGACTTCATTTCTGAATTGTTATTTTTATGTGAGAAGAGCAGGCTGTCTTGTACTGCTGATGCTTCTTCTCATTCATATTGCACAATTCTATAGTCTCTACTACAACACGGCAACATTTGGAGTTGTATCCTTGGGCACAGTCACCTCCACCACAGTCCTCTGGGTGTAGGAAGTCTGTTACTGGGTATAATAATCATGAACTTTCTTGAAAGTTCCCGGGGGGTAAAAGGAAACAGGCATGCTTAAATCTCCTACAGCTGCCCTTCTTAAAAGCTACAAGAACTCTTTTGCTAACATGGGATAAATAAACTATGAAGGCAGCACTGCAGTTTAGGAGGCGTTTTCCTGATATTCAGCTCTAGTGTCTCTCCATTTGGTCCCATTTTCAATTTTAACCCTAGTTTAGGTCTAACATCAATGATCTGGGTTGTAGAAAGCAACAGTTTTAAAATTTAGAAGCTGGGTCTGTGGGCATACCCCTTGGTTCAGACTCATCTGCACTTCCAGCAGTCCTCTGAGTGGCTGCTGTTCTAACAGATGTCTCTCTGTCCACCCCGATTGTATTTCATCTTAACGCAATCTCTGGTTTCCCTCAAATTGGCCTGGTTTATCGTCTCATTTCATTTTTGTTCTTCATTTATACTTCATTTCCCGATTCCTCCTTTCTTCTCTCTTCTCACACACCAACTCTATTTTGAACAGTGTAAAAGTTTTGGGGCCATATAGGGCCGGTCCATCACAAATCATCACAGAGCTCTCGCATTATTGTGGGAATTTGTAATAGATGACATGCATTCAAGTGGGAGAGTCTATTTATTCATTACAAGAAAACCAAGGCAGACTTTCTAAAACACACATATTATCTGGACAACTGTTTCACTTTTCATGTTGCTTTACCTGCAAAGATAGGATTTTTCATTAACATTTATAGTAAATTAACTAACAGCCCCTGAAAGGAATCAATAATGAACTATGTTGAGTTTTAGGACAAATGTCTAATAAGTGATTAACTAGAAATTTAATTTAACACACTGCACATACCTGTGTTTGTAGTCCTTTAACACCCTGTTAGTGTAAAAGGTGGCGGCATCATTCATCTCCTTGACATAAGGACCGGGTTTGGGGGACTGAGAGAACAGCACCATCACCCAAGCATAGAAGGGAAAAAAAAATAGGATAAGAAATAAAATGCCTTAAAGAAGAAGAAAAGCAATGGAGATGTTGACTTGAAAGCTGGAGACAAATTTTGCTCTGTGAAGACTGATGCAACACTTTGCACATCGGAGCACACAAAGCACCGAACTTCAAACAGCACAAGAGCGGCATTCCGCCTGCACAGCCTCGGCCTTCAGTAGCAGACAGAGGACGGAGGCTGGAGGGAGCCGTGGCTTCTCTGAAACGCTCCACAGATGTGAGGAGGTGCAGTGCCCACACTGCACCGGACTCACCACAGCTATCCACCCCAGCGCAGGGATGCTTTCGCTGACGGCTGAGAGATGGTTAAACATGGTGCTGCCCCGGTTCCTCTCTCGGAAAGTTTGGATTTCCTGAATCTTTTCCGATATTGGTTTCAGAAGTGCAGCCACGTCATTCTGTAAGCAAACATTGAGCACTGTTACTTAGGAGAGGACAGAAGCAGGTGGCCTCCAGGCTGGCGTGAGCCGTGGTCAGGACGCACCATTTGTCAGTGGCTTTCAGAAAAGAATGACATTTTTTTCGTTACGATAATGCTATATTTTCATTCTCTGAAGTATGAAAATTGCACATAGTTTTAGCAACATTAATGTCTCCTGAGACATGGAAAAACCCCCAGCATATGATACAGCCCAGTTTTACAGCATTATGCATGAAACAGAATGAAATTGGGTGAAGGTCAGTTACATTTTAAAATGGGATGCGTAGCTCACATGCTGTAATAACACAGGTCTAAAATCAGGGTGGGTGAGCGGTTGGTAAAAGGACAGCTTCCTATTCCCGTGGGAAAATGATGTGAGGGAGGGTCCTTGCCTTTATTAGAGTTACCCTCATCCACATGAAAAAGCAGAAATCTTTAGTTGAGGCACTTTTTAAGCAAATGTGATGAAATAATATTTATAGGTACCTTAAAGCCTGGTTTGACTTTTTCTACATGTCCTGGGTCAACTTTGCCTATGACGACTTCTGATTAATTCAACAACTGATTTCACCAGCTATATTAAAAATGACTTTCAAAAGCATGTGAACTGACTTATGGCGTATCACAGAGGTAGGTGCTTGCAACATCTCTCCGCCTATACCCTTCGCATCCTCTACTTTCTCTGGTTTTGAAGAGCAGATATAAGGTTACCTGATTTTTTTTGTGTGTGTGTGTGTTTGTGCTCCAAAGAAATAGCAAGTCTTGTACTTCAGCTTTGTAAAAGCAGTTGAAGAGGTTTCTAAGTCTTGTTTGCAGGAAGTAGAATAGAAAAGCTCCCAAAGCTCTTTAATTTCTTTAACCAAGACTTCAAAGGGCTACATATCGGAATCACCTGGGAGCTTTCAGAAGCAGAGGACAGGTTCCACTCCCAGAGACTCTGATTTAACTGGTCTGGAGGTGACCTGGGATGGGGGAGATTGGAAAAGTTCCCCAGGTAAGATTTTTGTTGTTGTTAATCCTTACCTGAGGACATTTTTCCATTGATTTTTAGAGAGAGTGGAAGGGAGGGGGAGAGACACAGAGAGAGAATCATTGATTGGTTGCCTCCTGCAAGTGCCCCTACCAGGGCCAGGGATTGAGCCTGCAACTGAGGTACATGCCCTTGACTGGAATTGAACCTGGGACCCTATAGTCATGGGCCAATGCTCTATCCACTGAGCGGAACCTGCTAGGGGCCCAGGTAAGATTTTAATCACTGCTACAGTGGTGGATTAATACCCCCAAATACTAGGGACAGAAAACAATTAGGGAAGTAGTTATGTTCACTGCTGCAGCTTCCAGACCTCACTTGTCCTTCTTGACCCCCAAAGATTCACTCCCATAACAGAAATGTATGTAAAGCCTTTGGAATTAGAATGACTTTAGTTCAAATCTCAGCTCTGCCACTTAACTAACTTTGCGGCCTTAAGCAAATTACTTAATTTGAACAGTGGTCTCCTTATCTGTAAATCAGATATAGTACTTATAGCCTATAAACTATAGGAGATACAGCATATTAAATCTCTGGCACATGGAAGGTACATAGTAAGCGGAAGTTATTATTATTATTATTATTATTATGCAATTAGCTCAGACTAGAGGTAAAAAGGATGTCCCTTGTAATATGTGATATTGATTTGCTTCAAATAAATGTATATTTGACATTTTTATTTTTCAATTACAGTTGACATTCAATATTATATTATATTCATTTCTGGTGTATGGCACATGGTTATATGTTTATATAACTTATGAAGTGATCCCCCAATAAGTGTAGTACCCATTTGACACTATACATAGTTATTACAATATCATTGGCTATATTCCTTTTGCTGTACTTTACCTCCTCATGACTTTTTGTAAATGCCAATTTGTACTTCTCAATTCCTTCACCTTTTCACCCAGTCCTCCAACTCCCCTACCATTTGGCAACCATAGTCTGTTCTCTGTACCTATGAGTCTGATTCTGTTTTGTTTGTTCATTTATTCTGTTCTTTAGATTCCACGTATAAGTGAAATCATATGGCTTATTTCACTTAGCATAATATCCTCTAGGTATATCCATGTTGTCACAAATGGTAAGATTTCATTCTTTTTCATGGCCAAGTAATATTCCATTGTATATATGTACCACATCTTCTTAAGCAAATAATCTATTGATGGACACCTAGGTTGCTTCCATATCTTGGCTATTGTAAATACTGTTGCAACGAACAGAGGGGTGCATATATCTTTTCAAATTAGTGTTTTGAATTTCTTCAGATAAATACCCAGAAGTGGGATTGCTGGCTCATACTGTAACTCAATTTTTAATTTTTAAGAGTCTCAAGCTCTACCGACTGAGCTAGCCGGGCGCGGTAATTTTTAATTTTTAAGATGCTTTAGGACTTTAATGTCCTTCACATGTTCAACATAAAGTACTAGCCGGCTGGTGTGGCTCAGTGGTTGAGCATCCACTCTTGAACCAAGAGTTCGATTCTCAGTCAGGGCACATGATGGGTTGCAGGCTGAATCCCCAGCAGGGGGCATGCAAGAGGGTGCCAATCAATGATGTTTCTCTCTCATCCATGTATCTCTCTCCGTTGATCCCAATAAAAATCAACAAAACATATTTTAGCCCAGCCAGCATGGCTCAGTGGTTGAGCATCTACTCATGAACTGTTCATTTCCCTGTCAGGGCACATACCTGGGTTGAGGGCTCGATCCCGAGTGTGGGGCATGCAGGAGGCAGACGATCAATGATTCTCTCTCATCATTGATGTTTCTCTCTCTCTCTCTCTCTCTCTCTCTCCCTTCCTCTTTGAAATAAATAAAAATCTATTGAAAAATAATAAATAAAACATATTTAAAAACACACACACAAAACTGTCATAGGGAGAAAGAGTCTTCAGCAAGTCTCTTCCGGAAGCATTACACGGAGAGGCCTGGCTACCTCCCACAGACCTAGCCCTTTCAGGGAAATCATATGGAGCCCAAGAGCTTTATCTGAAGCTAAACAAAACAAATAGCTTTATCGAGAAACATTTTTTCTAAAGCATCACCTCCTTTTGCCAATTTGGAATGGAATTATCATTTTGCTTCTATTCTGGGGCTCCCTTGGACGTCCCCAGAATCCTTGAGAACTATCAACTGTTAGAAGAGCTGGAGCTAGAACCCAGGTCTTTTGTGAGGCCCCAAGATGATTCTCTACATTGAAAACTCAGAAAAATACAGTTAGCTTCCTGCACACAGGTTTCTTCTCTGCCAACAGGACTAAGGAAGAGTACTGTGAAGAGATTAAAGGCTCAGGTCTGGAATAGGACTCCTTGGGTTCAAATCCTTGCTCCCTGGTACACTAAGCTCTAGAACTTTCCACAAATTACCAAATGTGTCTATGATTCCATGACCACATTTGCAAAATATTGTTGATAATGGTACCCACTTCCTAGGGCTGCTATGAGGAGTAAATGAGAGACGAGGCCTACACTTGCTACAGCATTAGGGACATTGTGGGTGCTCAACAAAAGGTAGGCAATCTCCAAGGTGTCTGCCAGTTAGAAAGTCTCTGATTGATGGGATGCATTGACCAGCTCTTTCCTATCGTTGATATGCAAACACAAGGAGAGTGACAGCCTAACTGAGATATGCAGATGGACAGAGGCATGTGTTTACTTGGGGGAAACAAAAAGAAATAAGGGAAAGATAGCGAAGTGTGCTCAAAGCTCTCAGTGGACTTTCTAATTCTCCATGTTGAAGGAGGGGAAAACCAAAAAAGAGTTGCTGCAGTAGCCAGCCAGGCCTTGTGAAAACCTCATCAACACTTTCCCACTTCTCACTTTCCCTTCTGGCCATCACTGCGAAAAGGTCTTACAGACTTGGCCAAAGGACCCCGAGTCAGGTTTGTTTTGGGCTGACCTGTCCTTCCCAAATTCCCATGTCCAAGTCCTAATCCCTGGTACCTCAGAATGGGATGGTGTTTGGAGGCAGGGCCTTTAAAGTGGTAATTAAGTTAACATGAGGGCATGAGGGTGGACCCTAAACCACTATGACTGTCCTAATATGAAGACGAGATTAGGACACACTGACTCTCTGTGGGAAGACACCAGGAGAAGACATTAACTCGAAGCTAAGGAGAGAGGCTCCAGGAGAAGCCAACCCTGCCGACACCTTGACCTCAAACTTCCAGTCTCCACAACTGGGAGAAAACAGTTTCTGTTGTTAAAGACCCACCCCACCTGCCCGTCTGTGGTACTTTGTCCTGGCAGCCTAAGCAAACTAATGCCAGGGTGAAATGCCAATGCAGGAAAAGCAAACAAACACCCCCAAAACCAACAATAAAACAGACAAAACCCTCTAAACATTGCCTGCCCCAAACACAGCTATTTCATGCTTGTTTGTTAACGGCTGCAAAAGTCAGCTTTAATGCCTCTCCCTGAACCATGCTCTTTAGAATGCGACACCTATCAAAGATGTGTTATCAGTTTTCCCAGAAGGCAGCCGGCTTTAATTAAGGCAAAACTACCATAAAGGTCTTAATTTTCTCCAACAGCTTGCTAAGACATAATATTCTTGATGCAATGACATTTTTGAGAAAGACCAGAATATCTGAATTGTTGATGAAACTTGGCCTATTGCCCCAAAGAGAAGAAGAACCAGAAACTGTGTATTTACAATGTTAGATAGATTTATTAAGGCCATATTTGTTTATCTCCAACTTCTCAAGAACAAACTCTAAAGTCTGAGGAGACAGAGTATTCTGAAAAATATTTTATATTGGTTATCTGATGAAAGCATTATAAAGATGGAGAAAGTTTCCTTCTGCCTTAGTTTGGCAATTTCGTGAAGAATTGTCTTCATTAAAAAAAGAAAAGAAAAAAAGAAAGCAATGCAGAGAGAACTAAGTCCCACAGCTATTTGCACAACCTTAATAAACAGTACAGCTTTTATTTTGTGCCAGTA